ATCCCTAAATCCCTAAACCGCTAAACCCCTAAATCCCTAAACCCTTAAAGACGCAGGTCTGGAAGCGCCAGCCATGAACTGGCAGAGGAAGCAGGCGAGGTCGAGGCTCGAGCAGCCGCAAAGGACTTACTTCGCCAATAGCGGTTTAGGGTTTAGGGTTTGGGGTTTGGGGTTTAGGGTTTAGGGTTTGCGGTTTAGGGTTTAGGGTTTGGGGTTTAGGAACTTTAAACTTTTTGGGCTTCCTTTTTGGGCCTCTATGATAAAGTTTAAGCTTTTTTTAGCCCTGGTTATTGGGGGGAGAGAGAGGAGGGTCCTGTAAAGGAGATTAAAACGCATCGCGGTTTACCTTTTCAGATTCTATGGTTTAGGGTCTAGGGTTTAAGATTTGGGGTGTAGGGTTTGGGGTTTAAGGTTTAGGGTGGACTGAGTTTAGCACCGAGTTTAGGGCTTAGGGTTTAAGGTTTAGGGTCTGCCACAGCAATGGAGATTCAAATGGTAAAGATCGCGCAACATGAAATGCAAAAGAGAATGGGGGACAATATGAAACATTTTTTGTTTTTTGGAGTATGGTTCTCGGTGAGGGTATATAGGATTTCTTGGGATGTTGATGAGTGTTTTTTGGGTGTCCCAAGTGGGAGACAATAAATCAAAACCTTGGGCCCGCCAGTTTAGGGTTTAGGTTTGAGGGTTCAGGGCCATATAGGGATTAGCCCTAAACCCTAAACCCTTAGGTTTTTTTGGGGGGTAAGGTTCAGGGCACGGGGATTGTAACCACGGATTTTGATAAGCCCAAGCCCTATAGTAGCGACCCTATAAGAGTCAGATAGTAGTCATAGGGTCCCTATTTCGGGGTTTGGGGTTCAGGGTTTAGGGACCCTAAACCCTAAATCCTAGCATCAACCTCAAATCCGCAATCGTATGCCCGACGCACTAGCCCCCTAGACGCTGAACCCTAAGCCCACATCCATTGGGTCATTCTTCCTCACTGTATCTTTTAGGGTTTAGGGTTTAGGGCTTAGGGTGCATCTGTCCTCATAGGGGTCTTTCATACCGGGCTATGATAACTCCTATTGGCTATCGTGCGGCTACTGTCAGGGGGATTGACTCAGCGTATCCGCCAGTTCGCACTTGTGTTACTGCTGCAGCAGAGCGGGACAAGTCCACCGCAACAAAACTGTTGATACTAAAGCTCCTGCTTGACTAACCCTAAACCCTAAACCCCAGGAGTTCCGGCCCAAACCCTAAACCCAGAAGCTTAAACCTTAAACCCTAAACCCTAAACCCTAAGCCCTAAACCCTAAACCCTAAAACCCTAAACCCTAAAACCCATAAAACCCTAAGCCGTCAACTGTTAGGCTGGAACAGAGATTGAATGGAGCGTGGAACGCTGTCGGCCTGGGGATGCCTACAGCAGCTAGGCCCTTTAGGGTTTAGGGTTT